GTGATCCGAGTGCCGTCACTCTAGGGGACAGCCCAGCCACGCGGCCGGCAGCGACGGGCCTGACAATGGCGAGGGACGGCAAGTGGCAAGACGTGAAGAGGACCGGTCCAGGTGGCATGCTCGCCAGCCGGCCCCCCCACCCTCACAGCCCCTCCACTGTCAGCCTTGACCTAGACTCCGTCCGCCCGCTCCGGACACAAAGGTCCACGATGACAGGGCATCGGGGAAATGCCCACACTCCCCACAGATGACCTGAGCTACCATGTGGAAGACGGCAAATGATTTCTCCCCCACAGACCATTGCGGACCAACTTCCCATTTACGTTCTAAAAGGCAGTGCTTGGAAGTGGAGAGGAATCCCGAGTCTGTAGATTTGTGAGGCTTTCAGACTAAATGAAGAATGCGAATGAGGAGTGTATTTCAATTCTAGACTCACAGTCCAGCAGGGGTCCCACAATCGGGGCTGATGGCGTCCTTCTCGAGGGCCTTGGCCTCTGACATCTCTGCCCCATACTCACCCCCTATGCCTACAGAATTCAGAGGTGGTCTGGGGGGCAGTCTCAGGAAGAGGGTCCCAGATCACCCGCCTCCCCTGCCACACCCCCTCAGCCGCTCTCTGGGATGCTCACCATGCCTGTGACGGTTTGCTCTGTGGCTGTGGCCTTCTTCTCTGACGGGGCACAAGTTCAGTGTGGAAGGCCCAGGCCTGCCTTCGGTCATGTCCACGTTATCTCCTGGGCACCTGGCACGCGGCAGATACTTGTAGATATTTCTGATGACCAAATGAAGACATGCAGAGTAAGGGGGCCTCATGCCCTGACTCTAGGACAGGAGATGACCTCTCCATTTGGGTTTTCCTACATTTGGAGGGAGCAAAAATAGGAGCGAACAGTTGGCCTCCTCAAATGAAAAGTCTAAAACCTCCCGCTTCCTAAACATTAAATATTCCATCCTCACCTCTGTTCTCCCAGGTCTGAAGCTGCCAACCCACACAGGAACACATGTGGAAGTGAGAGTACAGAACAGCTCAAGGTGGGGAGGGTGTCAGTCTGTTCTACCAGTGGGTGTGGGCACGCTGGACACCACATGCCAAAGGAGGATGCCAGAGCCCTCCCTCACACCTCGTACCTCCCACCAGACACACACACCCAGAGCACAGAGCCCTCCCTCACACCTTGTACCTACACACACCTACACACCCAGACCACAGAGCCCTCCCTCACACACCCACCCCATACCTCACACCCACACACACACCCACCCCATACCTCACACCCACACACACACCCAGACCACAGAGCCCTCCCTCACACCTTGTACCTCACACCCACACACACACCCAGACCACAGAGCCCTCCCTCACACCTCGTACCTCCCCCCCCACACACAGACCATAGGCCTAAACATCAGGGCTCAAATGACAAATCCAAGAAGCAAGCCCTGCAGTGAATCACAACTGTGATTCTGGGTTTCTCCAAGTGGTCTCAGTCACAAACAGAGCTCAAGCAAAATAAGCTGGACTTCATCAACATTAAAATTATGTGTTCTGCAAAGGCTACCATCAAGAAAATGAAACGCAAACATACATACAATGGAGAAAAATATTTGCCCACCATGTATCTGACAAAGAACTTTTGAAGCGGGTGGAGGGTTTGAACATTTTCCCCAAGATCAACAAAGGGCTCTTTGTGGGATCGATCCTAACTCATGACACCCCCTTCTTCTCTTCCCAGGGTGTAGATCTTTCTTCTAACAGAGCACTGGTGGGTTTGAACCAGTGGTGGATTCAAACAACCACCCAGCAGGTAATTCACTGAGTTCATAATTGGCAACTTCTTCACCAGCAGGCACCAGGAAATGCAAATACAACCCACAATGAGACAGCACTCCACACCTGTGAGAATGGCTATGATAAAAAGCACAAACTGGAACCTTTCACATTTTGGGGGGATCAAAAGTGGTGCAGCTCTTCTGAAAAAGTTTAGAAGTGCCTCAAAATCTTTTTTTTTTTCATTTACATTATGTTTCTTTTTTTTTTTCTATAATTATATTTTACTAATTTTCATAAACATTTACAGAGATTTTGGGCTTCCACTCATTCATTGTTGCACTATTCTCTCTACCCTCCTCCCAGTTTGTTCTTGTCCAAATGCCACAGTGCTTGTCAAAGCCAGTTCTGATTAATCTTCTTTGTCAGTGTATCCTTTGCCATTCCCTATCACTCCTCCCTGAGAGAGACTTCACCGAGTCATAAGGAAAAGGGGACGGCGTATTCTCTTAGCTACTTCCTGCTGAAAAGGGACGCTGTGGGTTTCAGGGTGAAGATCTTCTCTCACTACTCTAAAGGGCCCCTTTGGCAGTAGGAAACACATAGACTATTATGGAGATTGATTTTGGAATTCAGATGCACTCTTATTGATTGTGCTTGGCTGTACATGTACATATCCTTGAAGATGTATCATGGGGGTGTTGCAACCTAGAAGACACAAATTTGACTAACAAGTTATAAGTACATGAGTCCAAAAATTATGGAAAAGTAAAAGAAAAGATTCTTTCATTGTTTTACAAACCCTCCCCCAGGTCCCCTCCACCATGCAGCCCTCGCTCTAGTCTCCTGTGATGACAGAAATACCCAGTTACATCTCTCTTTTAGACGGTTCTCTCCCTCCTCTGTTTCAGTTACATTATTGAACCCATCTTACTCAGTCTCTCCCCAACCCCAAGGACAGTCCCATTCTACAACAGTAGAAGTGCCTCAAAATCTTGACCATGGAGTCACTATTTAGTCCAGTAACACCACCCCTCAGGTAAACACGCCAGTGAGATGAAAAAGTATGTTCACAGCACTATTCGTCACAGCCAAAAATCAAAAGCCCCCAAGTTCAAGGAGACCTAGTCACATAATTCGCTTTATAACCCTATGAAGCTCTGAACCTTGCCCTCCCCAGCACCGTCCGCACCACCCCTGACAGAATGGAGCCCAGTGCTGCAGTCACTATGCCAATCCATCCTTCAGTGACCCTCCGCCTTCCCAAGTATGATGGCCCTTTCTAAGGACTGGGCCCTCCTAACATGCCCAAGGTCTAAGAGACAGAGTTCTGCCACCCTTGTCTCCAAGGAGCACTCTGGTTGCACATTCTCCATGACACATCTGTTCTTTTGACCGTTCATGGAATACTCAGTTCTCTTCTCCGGCACAACTTAAAGGCACCGATGATTCTTCTGTCATCCTTCTTCAATGTCCACCTTTCAGATACATAGAAAGCAACTGAAAATGCCACGGCTTAGATCAGGCGCACCTTAGTGTTTAAAGTGGCGTCTTTGTTCGCTAACACTGGAGCGGTCCTTGGTCTTTGGTTTACTCTCATTGTGGCTGAGTTGTAACTGACTCTCCTAGCAGGTTAAGGCTGTAAATCCCTAACACAGGAGGAGGTCGCCCAACCTCCATGAAGCCGCTGGTGCGTTTCAAGCACCAGAAGTGCTGCCTGTGTCTTGGCGGTGCAGCCCCTACAGATCACGTGAGCAGACTCCTTCCTGACTCCTTCAGCTGTCAACAAGAACTTGGTGCTGAGCCATGATCTATGCCTCAACAAAGACTCTGGATCGAGCTCAACGGGGCAGGCAATCACGAAAGAGCACGTATGATACGATTCCACTGACATCAAGTGTCCAGAGGAAGCCAAAGTACAGATACAGAAAGCTTAACAGCTGCCAGCACCACAAAGTACGTGTGTTCTGTCCGAGGCTTATGGGAAACAGGGAGTGACTGCTCGTTAGTTAATGGTTTCTCTCGGGGGCGAGGAAAATATTCTAGAACTGATGACCATGATGGTCACACACAACTCTGTAGATACAGTAAAAACCACCACTGAAATGCACATTTAAAATAGGTACATTCCACCAGATGCTCTGCCGGGGAAGGAGGGGGGCAATCTCCTCCTGTACCAGTCAGATCTGACGGTACACGCACACAAAAATAATAAAATAAATTTAAAAAAATAATAAAATGGGTACATTCTAGAAGAATACTTTCTAAAAAAAAAGCTGTTAAAAAGGAAAAAAGAAAAAGTCAGAAAGAAACCACTGATTTTTATTTTGGAATATTACACATTTATTAGAAACCAGTCTCCCACCACTCTCCTGGGGCACAGGGAATGTGGGGCTGTGCTCCGAGTTCCTGGGTGTCCAGGACACAGGAAATGTGAGGCCCGAGCTCCTAGGGTCCAACAGAGGCGCACTCTGAGCGTGTGCCCCCATCCAGTCAGGGCGCAGGGCCGATGCTTCTCCCAGGATCGTGGGCTTGAAGCTTCCTGCAGGCAGCACTTCAGTTCAGTTCTGAGTCACATGCTTTTCTTCCTTAACAACACAGCATCATTGAAGCTTCAAAAGCAGCACAGGCGAAGACACTGTTCTTTCTAACACAAGACAGAGTCCCTTCTTCATGATGAACCAAGACTCACTGGCTCAAGCACTCAGAGTGTGCGGGCGTGCGTGTGGGGACGACCCCAGCCGGAATGTGACAGGCTGTCCTTCTGGCCCCGGATCACGGCCCTCATCCCTTCTGGCCGTGTTCTTCAGCTCTGGACATCTCTGCCTCCCACCCTCAACCTCCGCATTGAGCCCTGGAGGAGGGAAGAGATGAAAACGCTTCTTGGGCTCACGCCTGGGCTCTTGTGGGCCCCTGAGCCCCGACTCCTGCCTTCCTGCTTATGGTGGGGCCTAGCTGAGGCTCCGAGAAAGCTCCTATGCTGGCAGGCCGGATGGACCAAGCGAACACACTGGGTTGTCTTGTTGGCAAATGAATCCAGGCGCAAAGCAAAGACTCTTTCCAGGTAAGAAGCAGAGTAGGCGCAGCAGATAAATACTGAAATGAACAGAACAGTTGGAATGGAAAAACAAGAAAAACACACACATTTTAATAAGTCTGGGCTAGTGACTGGGCATTTTTCCAGCTTCAGAAAATTGGAGCAGAGGTCATGGCCAGGACAGTAGGGCACTGGTCAGATGTTCTTTACAAAGGCGTTGACCTGGAGAAGCAGAGAACAGAAGTCACATGTCAGCAGACCAGTCAACAGCAGGGTCTGTGAGTGAAGGAAACAGGCCGGCAAGGAAGAGTGGCCCGCCCAGGCTCACAGCCCTGGACAAGGGACCCAGAGCCTCGTCTCTACTGCTGCACCTCAGGGAGCCCTGGTGGCAAAGGCTGCAGAGAGACGCACGCTAGCACACAGGCCACGCCTCTGGCAGTTCAAATCCACCAGCTGCTCTGTGAAAGAAAGATGAGCAGCCTCCTTCTGTGCAACTTACAGCCTCAGAAAGCCCATGGAGGGTCAGCACTGAGTTGATGGCCACATGATGGTGTCAGGAGTTAAGCACACCTTAGAGAGAGCCCTCGTGGTGCAGTGTGTAACGTACCAGGCTGGACTGTGAACAGCCACCACCCAGAGGTCGGCAGTTCACGTTCACCAGCCACTCCAAAAGCAAAAGACAGGCAGTCTCTCCTGCAAGATTTACAGCCTCGGAAACGGGATGGAGGCAGGGGAAGATCTGGGTGTTATCTCTACCCAAGGAGCTCTGGGGGTGTAATGCTTTACAGGTCGCTCTGCTGGCTGAAAGGTCAGTGGTTCAAATCCACCAGGTGCTCTGCAGGAAGGAGACGGGGAGTCTCCTCCTGCAGAGACGTACAGCCTTGGAAGCCCACGACAAGCTCCCGGCTGGGACTGCATGGTGACAGGGTTTAGGCTTCTGACTGAGCACCCCGTAGGAACAGATGCCTGTGAGCTGTGGTGCTGGAGAAGAGTGCTGAACGTCCCATGGGCTGCCTGCCAAACAACGAACAGCTATGCCCGGAGAAAGGGCACCCAGAGTGCTCCCTGGAGGCAAGGATGGCAAAGCCCCGCTCGTATACTGTGGACACGTTGCTAGGAGAGGCCATTCCTTGGAGAGGGACTTCACACTTCCAAAAGGTGGGGGGGACGGCGAAGGAGAGGAAGACCCTCAACTAGCTGGATTGACACAGTGACTGCAGCAGTGGGCTCAGGTGTGTCAAAGACTGTGAGGATGACACAGGAGGACAGGGTTCAGATCTGTTGTTTATGGGGTCACCATGAGTCATACTTGACGGCACCTAACAACAACAACATACCTTGGGCAGTCAGTGGGGCAGTGCATTACAAAGCCATTATTTAATAATCAGAACCCCAAATTACTTTTAGCAAGTGGAGATTTTACGTATAACTTGTGTTGAATGAAATGCATGGCACCAAGCGCCCCACATCCATCAAGGTGGAGCCCGCTGGCCCAGGCCGAGCGAGGCCCAGTGAGGGGGGCAGCCCACGCAGGGAGCACGAGGCCCTCACCTTGCTCATGAGCTCCTCCTGCTTGGCTCCCACTTTGGAGAACTCCTCATTGACATCCAGCACCAGCACTGGAGTGGCCAGCAGATCCTCAGAGTGCAGCCTGGAAGTGGAGCAGGCACAGAGGGGGAAGGACTGAAGCCTGAGCTCACAGGGCTCTCTGACGAATCACACTAGAAACATCCACCCCAGGGTGGGTGGGTGGGGGAACGGAGGGAGGCAGAGGTCCTCCCTGCTCTGAGCTGAAGGTCAGAGTTCCACACCAAGCTCAATGTGAGACAAGGGGAAATGAGGAACACAGTGGGTAAAACTGACAACTTCTCCAGAGAGTTTAAGCCCTTCATTGTATGTAAACAACTACCATCAGTAAGCTCTGATAGTGGAAGGGGAGGGAGTTGCACTGCCAACCCAAAGGCACGCAGTTTGAATCCACCAGCTGCTCTGTGGGAGAAAGATGGGCAGTCTCCTCCCGTGCAAGTTACAGCCTCTAAAAACCCGCCGCAGGGTCAGCTCAATGTCAGGTCTGACTCAGCGGCACCCAACCACCACCAGCGGTCAGGGTAGGGGAAAGGCTAGAGAAAGAGAGGCCAGTAGACAGTTCCTTGGGGTCTGAAGCTTCTAAGCTGGAAAGACCTGATGGTGCAGTGCGGGACCTTCCAGTGCAATGAGGGACATGATGGTGAAGTGCAGGGCCTGACAGTGCAGTGCGGTATGTTGCAGTGCAGGACCTCCCAGTGCAGTGTGGGGCCTCTCCAGTGTGGTGCTAGACCTGATGGTGCAGTGTGGGACCTTTCAGTGCAGCGTGGGGCCTGATGGTGTAGTGCGGGACCTCCCAGAGCGGTGCGGGACCTCTCAGTGCGGTGCGAGACCTCCCAGTGCGGTGCGGGACCTCCCAGTGTAGTGTGGGACCTCCCAGTGCAGTGCGGGACCTCCCAGTGCAGTGCGGGACCTCCCAGTGTAGTGTGGGACCCCCAGTGTGGTGCTGGACCTGATGGGGCAGTGTGGGGCCTGACCGTGCAGTGCAGACCTTTGCGCGGGGGGGGGGGGCGGGGGGGGGGGGGGGAGAGCAGAAAAGGGTAGTCCCCTCCCTT